GGAGTATTCTATAAATATTATGGTTCATTGGTTGACTGCAGTGTACTGATAGGTGTTTTTTACCTCTTAATTGCTGTCACTTCAGGACTAATACACAATATGCAAGGAACCTGAATGAAGCAAGTTTTTTCTTGAGAAAAGTGAATGATGTTTTCCAGCATATTTATTCAGCAAACGAAGATTGGTACAGTGTCCTTATGAAATTTACTATTGGCGGTAGAGAACAGCAGCGCTGTAGGGCATTTTTATATTACCATATGAAAAAATAGCATTTAGCAACCCACCCCTAGTCTAGTGTCTGATCAGAAGTGATGGTGTCTTTCTGAGAATTAATTCCAACAGCAGAATAAATAAGTGCTGTTTCAGATTTTAAGAGCAGTTGAAAAACACCAGTTTTTCCTCTTTGTGGTCGATGGCAATTTACACAGACTTGACATCCACTGTTACTACATTAGCAACTCCTTGTAACGAGCTCAGCTGTAAGGAAGGCGCTTGCTTTTAGGAGGTTTGTTGTCATTGGATACTGCAGTACTGATTTACATTACTGGGAAGTGCTATTTTTACTGCAAGTCTGCTTCAGCCTCTGGCAATACCAGCTATTTCAGCGCTCTTCCTGCTTCCTGCCCCACCAGTTGGCATCTCTGTTGTCACACAACCAAATGCTGCTGTTTATTTATTTCTGCCTCCCCAAATTGCTCAGTGTCACTGCTCACCCCTAACCCACTCACTCATTTGTGCAAAGAGCACTTGTGCTGTCCTACTACACCATATCCTCCATATCAACAAGGTGAGCGCTTCCTGCCTTCCATGTCTCTGCAGCTTCACTTTGGGCTATTTCAGGAAAGACAGAAGTTGATTTACTCCAAAATCCTGCTTTGTTGTGTAGCCAGCGTGGTGCAGAACAGCTTTGCTCAGGTGGCTTTGCAGATGTCAGGAAGGCACAGTGTGAAGTTCGTCTTTGTGAGGTAGGTGGGGAAATTTTTGCTGCATGCAGCCTCCTTGTCCAGTCTCAGACGGTGTTGATGGTGGGCCCTGGCTGCCTCTTGCAGCAAAGCCTCGTCTGCCTTAACAGAACAGCAGTTTCTCTTGCACCGTAAAGCCAGGGGCCAGATGTTCGCCAATGGGCTGCGATCTGCCAGCAGCAGCACCTGGCACATGGCATTGCAAAGGAGCAGAGCCATGCAAAGGGCCTGGTCACCACCACTGGCAGCCTGCATTGGAGTGACTGCTGTGTCGTGTAGCTCTGGGAGAGTCACACTGTTGCTGTGATCCCCCAGACTTTCCATCACGTGCCCTGCAGAGTCCTGCAGGGAAAGAAAGCTGAGACTGGAGGGTTGTCCCTTTGGTGTATTGGTAGCTTGTTAAAAATGAGCCTCACACGGCTTACAGGAAGGGACTGGAGCTTCATTCAGCAAATAGAGGTTACAGCAGAGCAGTAAGGAGGAAGGGCTCAGGTGTGCTCTCCCCTTTTTCCTCTTCCTTCTGCATGACCAGTTGAAAACTCCATTTATTTTGGAGAATAAACCCCTCCATTTCTGCACAGACACTGCTCTTTTCTCCTCTGGGTCAGGTAAGGGGCAGCTATCTGCCCGAGATTGGTTGATTTCTTTCTGCCCCAAAAGTAAGAATAAATACAAGAATTTCCTCTCTTCCTTAAGTGAGTAGGTGAAGTTGAGAAGCTGTGAACAAAACCTGGCTTTTCTACCCTGTGTGGCATCCTGAAGGGACACAATAGCTGGGAGTATGAGAGCAGTGATGGTGTATCCATGCAATCAGTCACGCATAGTCATGCATGCACCATTGCATTATTGCGAATGACATCCGTGTATGCAGCGAGAAGAAGGCAAATGCACAGCCCAAATAAGGGGGGAGGACCATTACTATTGTGTTCGAGTATCCAGAAATTAGGACATGGCAGAAGCCACATTGATGGTGTTAACTTCATTCAACCCCTCTCCCAGCCTCCTGAAGCATGGACCTATGGTGTGGTAGTGGGAGCAGAGGCAGCTCTGTTCCCCCCAGAGATGCCACACAGACACTCAATGGATTTCTCAGCAAGCTGAAGCCCTGCCAGGAGCCTGCTCCAGTGTGGACTTCCCACGGGGTCATATCCTGCTTTGGGCACATCCACCTGCTCCAGCGTGGGGTCCTCCATGGCTGCAGGTGGATCTCTGCACCACCGTAACATCTGTGGGCTGCAGGGGGACAGTCTGCCTCACGATGGGCTTCACCATGGGCTGCCAGGGGAGTCTCTGCTCTGGCACCTGGGGCACCTCGTCCCCTCCTTCTTCACTGACCTTGGTGTCTGCAGGGTTCTCTCTCACATCTCATTCCTCGGTTCCTCTGCTGTTGCCCTTAATGTGTTATGAACAGAGGCGTTACCGCTGTCACTGATTGACTTGGCCTTGGCCAGTGGTGGGTCTATCTTGGAGCCAGCTGACATTGGCTCTATCAGACATAGGGGAAGCTTCTAGCAGCTTCTCACAGAAGCCACCTCTGTAGCCCCCACCACTACCAAAACCTTGCCACACAAACCCCATACAACTCTGAACACCCTTGTCCCATGCTGTACTCTTTTATCTGTCCACCCCAAATTCAGGTCATTTCCAAGAATCTGTGTCCCAAGTTCCCAGTTATCTTCTGTTCCTATAATTCCCTGTCCTACTCCAGCCTCTTTTTCCTGTCCCCTTCTCATCCGACCAACCTCTTTGCTCCTCTGTTGTCTCCTCAGCTTTCCTCTGAGGCTCTTCATTGCCTCTTCTCACTTCTCGAGTGATACTGTCCCCATTTCCTTGCCAAGCTGTTTTTGGTTACCCCACGCACCTTCAGATCTGTGCTGGATGTGCACCTTTTGTCCAGTCACAGCCTCTCCTCTGGACAGCCTGCACTCCCACAGTCACTGCTTTGCATTAACCCTAGGCCCCGAGAACCTCATGCAGCTGCAATACTAAGGTTTGTAGTGTAATCAAGTGTTTAGTATATTTTTATTTTGCATTTTTATAGTAGCTCAGTGATTTGCAGGTTTTCTCTGCTGTTTTTCCAAGCTGCTGAACAGAGGAGAATGTATATTTTTTGATTCCATGGCAGACGGGTGGTGTTAGCTCTTCAAACTATCCATTACATTTTCTTAAATAATTATTGGCAAGTTGAGAGTTTCCTGTATGTAGAGCATTGCCATGCCTTAGTGAGAACCCCAGGCATGATGCTGATTTCCTTGAGTGTCTGATGAATGGCTCTGGAACATGCAAAGGCTTTTGGACGATGTGCCAAGTTACCCAGTCGGTGCTGCAGGCTGTGAGTTCACAGGTAGCTTCTTAGCAAGACCTAGAATTGCTTTGGCAAACTCAGCACAGCATGTGACACAGCTAGATTCACAGTTATGTTCTGATCAGTTGCCCAGCAAACACTGATAAGCTTAAAATCAGAGGAGGAGGAATGTTGGCTGCCTGCAAGCAAAGTGCCAGTTTTATTACCCTCAGAGTTCATCGCTCTTCCTTATTAAAATCCAAGACAATCCCCACCACCGCCCACGTGTGTAAACCTCCAGTAAGCATGACATAATGTGACTCAGGGGGACTGGGAACATGCACAGGGCAGGCGGTGCAGGCTGTTTGCACCCAGCAAAAATGACACTGGGGTCAGCAGTTGTTTACTTACATTTTTTAAATGACCTTGGGTAGGGGATGACTGCTCACTCAACCCCAGGTCATTGCTTGTACTTCCACACAGACTCTCTGTGGAAGGTCCATAGGATCATAGACCTGTTTTATGCTCACAGTCACGTTAAACGAGCTACAAAAAGGCTTTGTGTTTCCACAGTGTGATGGGGCAGTAGAAACTGGTGCTCTTGGCCACCTTTCCTGTATGGAGACAGAGTGGGCTGCAGCCTTTGGCTTGCAATAGCATTGTGTACTTCTGTCCAAAATACAAATTGTGCTAGCTCCTTGCCCAAATGTTTGGGAAATGAACATTAAGCCCTACCCTGCTGCATGGACCCGACTGCATTTGATGAATTGGAGTCAGTGCTGGCAAAACGTAATTGCTCGTCATTATGACAAATCATGCGCAATGCTCATACTGTGAACTACAAAGCTTTTGTCCACTGCCGCTTATCCAGCTGCTTAAAAAGCTCTTCAGTTAAAGTGCATGAATCTTGGAAATAGCCTTCAGGATCTGGTTGTTCACATTTTGTTGAGGGCACTGAAAAAATTCTGGTCTGTTTGAAGAACTTACTTCTATTCCCCATTTTCTCCTGATGCAGGGGAGCATTAGCTGGACTGCAGGACAGGGGATGGCTCAGCAGTACAGCCAGATGAAAGCGAGGGTGGCTGTGTTATTAAAACGAAGTCTGAGCATTGCTCTTGATCTGTGTCCTTGATAAAAATCCCTAGTGGTGTTCATCCTTCCAGTAACAGCTGCAGGCATGTCATTTCCCTTCTTTCTGTATTACTGGACAATCTGTCTTTCTGGTTTTTTTGTTTTGCATTTTCTGAAACAAGAAATGGTTTCTTGTATCTTATCAGAAGTGTGTGTTTCAGCAGATGCTAAAAAAGTGTGCATGCATGAGAGAGAAGTCTGTGTGTGTTACTTCATCTTGTGTAGGCACAAAATTGCATGCATGAGAAGTAACTGCCTGGGTGAATTATGTTTGTTTTCCATGCACCGTATTACTTTGGTTTATGGTCAGTGCTGTCAGCATGTGGCAGTCATGTTTACAGAGCACCACTGAGTCAAATATTCTAGCTGGATATTTTAAAGTCTTGGATGCCTTCATAGCCACAGGCATTTGGAGCTGGAATTGCTGAGACAAGAGTGCTGCAGTTTGTGAATTTGATCCTCCCTTCCAAGTACAGTGCTGCACGTCTTGGCTAGGCGCGCTGTCTGCCCCCTGTGGAGGGAATTCCTAGCCCACGGTTGAGTGCAAACCCTCACTGGTGTGGCGGGTCTCATCACAAGCCAGGCCCTCCTCAACAAATACTCTTCCCTTTTCTGTCTTCCAGCGTCAAGATGGTGCTGATGTGGACCAGTGGGGACACGTTCAAGACTGTTTACTTCATCTTGAATCAGGCCCCGTTCCAGTTCTCCATCTGTGGGCTCCTGCAGGTTTTTGTGGACATCGCTATCCTGTTGCAGGTTTACTTGTACAGCCACTACCCTCAGAAGCCCGTGCCCCATACTGCACACCCAGCCAGCACCAAGGCCCTGTGAGGCACTCAGCTGGGCAGGCTGCGGGTCAATGGCGCTGTGGAGTCAGCCAGGACAGCTCCTCTTCTGCTTGTAAATACTCCTGTGTTGCCGAGTTGAAAGCAGAAATGAGAACAAGGATTGAAAATCTGGCTGCACTTTCAGCTGGGGAGGTTTTATTTTAGATAACTTGATCTCTCTGTTTTCAGACTTAGCTGTACAGAACTGTTTCTTGGTGGGGGGGAGGGGCACATTATTTTTGCATATGTACCTAAGAGCCTTATCAATTCACAAATGTTTGTATATTTAATCACAAGGGCTGGATGGTTTGTGTTTTTAATGCTATTTAAGTATGTTACACCATGGAAATTATAGGATATTTTGTCTGAAACTTTTACCTATTTATATAATATACAGTCTGTATATTGGCAGGAAGTTTGTGGCATATGCTAGCATTCAGTATCTCCACGATGTAGGAAGAAGTATTGAAGAGCAAATGCAGGAGTTTTCCCTTTTCTTTAGGAAGGGTGTGTGGTGTGCAGAGGAGGTGAGGGCTGGAGGCCCTGCAAAGAGGTGAGCAGCCAGAAAGGAACTGGTCGTACACAGAGTAAAGCACCGAGTGAATGGCAGGTGTTCACCCCCGCTGCGGGATCAGTGTGGCAGGTGAACATATCAGGAAGATGATGAAGGGGTCTGAGTATGGATGATGCTGAAGCCATGTTTAGAGCAAGCAGAGCCAGTCAAGAGTTCAGCCCAAAGGAGGAGCTAACAGGAGACTGCAGGTAACTTAGGTAGTCTTGCTTTGAGACACTGGGGTTTGGGAACAGCCTGCCCTGCACTTGGGGGCAGCACTGCTCCTGCAGCTGTGCACAGGACAGAGCTGGGCTGCAGGACATCTTTCACAAGCCAAGAGGCCAGCAGACGTGTGTTGCCAGTATTGCCAGGGAAGTATTTCTAGGTGGTGATTGAGCCACAAAGGTAGAAGTAACTCCTCTTCCATAGCCTTAGAAGAGGATGTGAACAAGTTTGAGGCAGAGAAAAATCCGTTTCCTATGGAGTAGGACTAGCATTGGACAGCTTGATTTGTTGGGGCTGAGATTCATGTTCATGTTTTGTAATGCCAAACAAGGACCAGTTTATATTTTAGGCTGTTTCTTGCATTGACCCAACAAGGATGGAGTCCACGTTTTCCTTTTTCCATTGTTTAAGATCTTCTAGGCTCTTAAAAGCAGGCTATAGTTAAACAGAGGCACTGAGAAAGCTGAAAGAGCACAGAGTGTATTTATAAATGTAGATGTTGTCTGTAATGGCTGTTTGCCACTGTAGGTCGCCTTGCCCTTTTTGAGAGCTGCACACGTGGAGCAGCTGCAGGTGGTGTGGACCTGCAGAGGGCTGTGACCCAGCCCCTGGGCTTCTGCCAGCCGCCCTCACGAAACCGCCCTGGTTGGTGTGAGGCAGCCATAGTGAGAGGCTTCGTCCCAGGAACAGCAGTGCCTGCGCTGCTTGCTTCTTTGTGAGGCTCCCTCCCTGTGTGGGGTGAATCCCATCTGGCCATAGGTGAGGTGTTAAGAGCTGGGACAGAGTTTGGAGGATCATTTTTTCTCTAATATTAGCCCCAAGAGCTTACATTTCCTTAGCAATGGCAGCAAGTCTGAGGTTTAGTATGAATCAGATACTTCCCCTACCCTGCTTTATTTGGGTACCTCATGATTTGAGTCTGGACAGTTGTCATCGGCGGCAAACTGTCTTCTGGAGGGGAAGGCTCAGCAGGCTGCAGCAGTGGTTATGTGACGCTTGGTTGGGAATGTCTGTCATAAGACAGGGAAGAGTGGGCTGTCCCTATGCTACTTTGCTTTACCGACTTGTGCCCCTTTCGCTCCCAGGTAGCCCCAGGCTGACTCTGGCGCTCCCACTGCATGTGCTGTTTGGTTTTGGAGCTGATGTGGTGGTGGTGGAGGACTGAGGCCCAAACCTGTGGGCAGAAGTCCTGCCCTGGGGCCAAGCCGTCCTGCCCTTTGGTGGGGGCACTTCTGGAGGTGGAAGGAAGGGCATCCTCAGGAGGTCCCTCCTGCCCCAGCAGATCCAGTCAGATCTGTGTTGAGTAAAGCAGAGCCAAGGAGAGGTGCTGTTTCCCAGGGCTGGGCACAGGATGCTCTGCCCGGGCACCGACTCCACACTCTCTGTTCAATACAGTACACTTTTAGGCCTGAAGTGACCTTACAAAGATGATGTACCTGGCATGGCAGACTATGAATGTTTTGTTCCTCTCTTTTCTCCAACGTTCTGGTTCTGTTACAGGAACATCTGGGCTTTTGTCTTTTTTAATTGAAATCTTACTTAACAACTGGCTTCTCCGGTACGCTGCTTTAATGAGGATTGTATTTCTACTGTATGCAGACAAACACTTTCTTGTGTGTTTTAATGGTCTGAAGGTTTTTTTTAATAACTTGTAATGATAAGATTTTTGTATATGGTGGTCTTTTTCTAATATACTATGAAACGGGGATCTAAGAAATAAATGGCTCTTAAGAAATATACTTCTGTATGCTATAGCTTCACCTGGGAATGCACACTTTTGGCCACCTCTTTGGCTGTGAACTACAGGTATTACCGAGGATAAAACAGCTGTCGTTTTTTTCCTTTTGGGACTCTTCCCTCGGCAGATTCTTGAGTCTGTCATCAGTACCCAAACCAGCAGCTCTGCAGTCCAGTCTCATTCACACCAGAGCTGCAAATGCTGGAAGAGAAGCCAGTGAAACCATGTCCGAAGTCATCTTCTCTATGTGGCATTTAGCAAGGTAGGACTTTTGGCCAGGAACTCTTGAACTTCATCTTGAAAGATACTTTAGAAACAGAATGTTACAGAACTTTGGTTTTGTTCTTTAATTGTCAGGAAGTATCTGTATCAATGATCACCTCAGAGATAAGAAATCAATTTCTTTAAATACATCTCTTTGAATGTATGGCACATTTCATGGAGTTTAATTTCTCTGTCAGTTGCAATGTTTTTTTAAATAAAGATTACCTATTGTATATAAATTGCAGTGTTGCTTTGCTTTGTTCAGATACAAAATGTGAGCTTCTTAGCTCTTATTATAGCTCATCTTGTCTACAGTGTTGTCTGTAGGAATAATTAGCATGCTTTTTCCTCCTGATGGGTTGGTTAGCACAAGGCATAAATTGTCCTGTGCTCGTGATGCACGACAGGGATTCTGGATTTCTGTCCCTTGCTCTTCCATACATCCTGGGTTAAACTTACCCTCATGACCTCTTAACTCTTTTATGCTTGCGGTGCTCACAGAAAATACAAATTACTAACAGATTATAATGTAGCTTTAAAAAAAAATCTGTATCACTTGAACTGCATAATGAAGTCAAAGATGGGACACAGCTGAGGGACATGCACTTCGCAACCTCATCAGAACATGAGGAAACTGTCATTTGATGGCTAACCACGGTGCAAAGAAGAGTCTTGACCTCCTTGCCTTGTGTATTCAGGATGTGACAACAAGCTAAGACAGTCAGGACCAGCCTTGCAGCCGATGTGTGGCTCCTGGGCCCAGCTGGGCTGCCACTGGTTTGGCTGCCCCATTCTGTGTTGCTGCACACCGTGGCTGTGGGAGCTGGAGGAGGGGAGCCGGTGAGGAGAGAGGGCTGGGGCCACAGGAGAGAGGGGTGGGAAGGGCAGCAGGCGAGAGGTGGAAGTGTCTGAGCTTGCTCAAATAAGGGGCTGAAGGGACAAGCTCCTGGAGGGGAAGGAATGGAGGAAAAACAAGCCCTGGAAGGGCAAAGGTTGGTAAATCAGTGAAGCAGAGCTAAAGGGGGAGGCAAATGAGAGGGTGAGGAGGAAATTCTGCCTGCTCTGTTACAGCCACGGAGGGCAATGGCCCAAGTGGTTCCCACAACAGCCGTACCTGCTCATTGCTCATAGGGGATGCAGTGTGTCCCCCAAATAGTACTGGTGTCACTGGCTGCTGCTCTGGCACTCACTGAGGGGAAACTAATGGTGGGATTGGCCATAAATGAAACACGAGGAGCCTGTTGTATCTACATATGTGGTTAGATGCAGTTAAAAACATTTTAAGACAGAAGGCAAAGCTCAAATTCGGCAGAGGTAGTAAAGCGAAGTTGGCCAAAACATGCTAGTAGTTAAATTTGGTTGTGATCCTTAAGTTTGGCTTGCGTGCCAAGAAGGCTTCAAGGAGCCGTAGCTGTAGCTTTGTTGGTAGCTTTCTGCAACAGAAGGCATCAATGTGAAAGTCAACAATGTAGCAATAAATAAAAAATATTGTCTGGATACCAGTGCCAACAGCAGCAAATAAGAGACATGGACTAGAACAAAATGTGGGGCACACCCCGGAGCAGGGGCAGATTTCCTTGTAAACAGCCTTGTAAAGCAGCCAGGCCCCAAGCAGACATCAGCACCTGGAAACGCCCCGACAGCAAACACAGACTTAGGACTTCCAGTTCCTGGTCCTGCCCTTTTGTGTCCAAACTGTGGATTTGGCTCTTGCGGATGCTGGCTTAGCTGTGCTGGGAGATCGAGGGGCTTTGCTCAGCCTCAGATGGGCCAGCAGAACCGTACTGGATTTCTCTACTAGCCAGCCCTGCCATCTGCCTCTTTCCTCTTGCGCCCCAAGGCTGTACACTCTCCCAAGGCTGTTGTTAGTAGTCACCAGGCCCCATGAGAGCCAAGGACACTTTGCCCCTGTGAAGCATCTGCTGTGAGGCTGCTGTGGGCAGTGCCTATTCTGGCCAGGTCAGTGTGAGACAGCAACCTCTTGCTGCTGAAGAGGTGAGAACAGCATCACATTTTTCTTCGGAGTAGTGTTTTTTCTTAACTGAGCTCGCTATGAGGTAGGAGGTGGCTGTGCCCATGTGTTGTATGAGCAGAAGGAGCTGTGTTTGTGCCACTCCATCCAACTGTCCCTTTACCAGTTACAACTCCATAGCTATGGTTTTCAGATGATGATTGTTGCCAGCTGCCAGAATTTGTATGTCCAGGTCCATGCGTGCTGCCACCA